ACCATTCAAAAGCTTGGAGTCAGTATATATTTTTTTCTATAATATTAATTATAGAAATTAATACTTTTATTTAGCAAGGGTGCTTTAAATTGATCAAAAGTGATGATAAAGACATTTATAATGTTACAAAAATGTATATTTCAGATAAATGCTGTTCAACATAATAATAAATGTTTTGTGAGCAGCAAATCAGAATATTAGAATGATTTCTGAAGGATCATGTGACTGGAGTAATGATGCTAAAAACTGAGCTTTGAAATCACAGGAATAAATTACATTTTATTAATAAGGTGAGTCTGAGATGTTTATTTGACAGTGATTTCACATTTCTTGTTTGTATGAAGGCTAAATACAAATAAAAGGATTCATTAATTTATTTGTGCTGTTTTTTTTCTTCTAAAAAATTAAATAGTTTTATAGGAAGAGGTTTCATAGACTTGGCAAATACATTTTTCACAAGTTTGTAGGTACAGACATCTGTTGTGGGTGTTCTTTGCAGTTTTTATGAGTTTTTTTTTAATAGTGTTCATATCGATATCGGAATTATATTGTATCGACCGAAATTAAGAAATATATTGTGATATATATTTTGGCCATATTGTTCAGCCCTAGTATTGACTTTAACGGTCATTTTTGACCTAAAGCTCTATACTTACAAAACTGTCAAAAAGTATTTTGTCTGTGTATTTATTGTTGTTTTCAGAAGCTTGCAGGCACAGTATAAGGCTTTGAGTTGCCTTATACTGTGCCTGTTATACTGTGCCTGCAAGCATCTGAAAACAGATCTTTTCTCCAGAAATGAAAGTGAAAGCATAAAAGTTAATTATACATTGTCTCCAGTCAACTGAGGCCAATTCAGTTTCATGATTTAATTCTGTGACTAAATCAGCACTCCAAAGTTCCAAATTGTGCAATATTAGCATGAGTCATAATTTCCTGAGCCTTCCTTGTAATTATTAAAACTAAGAAAAGTAAAAAAAAAAACAAAAAAAAACAAAAAAAAACAAACAAATGCAAACTGAATGAAAACTGACTAAATAACATTCTGCAAGATTGCATTGTTCGAACTATCAACACATTTATATTTTCAGAAAGTACACTCTCAGAAATATTGTTTCTGGTCCCCCAGGGAAATCAGGAAATGGCCTTATATTAACTTAAAATGGGTGTTCTGATTGGTATATTTAAATTCTCTGCAAATATGGTGCACTGTAAATGATTCTCTTGACTTTTTTACTCAAGTGCATATACTCAGGTAACACAGTACGCATATGCAGTCTGCAGTATGGGATTGGCTGATGGACGGTCAGATGCAAAACAGGAAACCGTCCCACCCAGTCAAAGGCTGCTTTGGTCATTTGGCACTTCATCAGTGTATTGTTAGAGGAAGGGTTTTTAGTGTTACTTGAGTATTATGCACTCGAGTAAAAAAAGTCAAATTAGTATTTTACAGTGCACCATATATGCAGAGAATTTAAATATTAAATAGATATTTAATCATAAATAAACTGAATTAAAAGTATAAAAATGAATACTTGTGTCAAACCATTTCTGTGAGCTAAGGAAGGGTGTACCAATATGCCACCATTTACCATGCAACAGATCAGCTTATTCAGCCTATTTATTTTGTCCCTTTTTTGTCTTTTTTGTATAGCCTATAGAAATAATATATTTAAATTGCAGTTTTATGAAAAATTTGATACAAATTAAATTGCCTCGTTTTCTCCACTCATGCCTTTTTGTAAATAAACACATTAGTGAACATTCTAGCTTTAACAGTGATCAAACTTAAGTTAGCATCAAATCATTATCATTTGTGTGGGGAAATCAGTTACAGTGGAGGTAACCAAGCAATGCAGGTTTAAGATACAGACCATTGTAGTCAATATCTGTCATTGGAAAACAACACGAGCTTTTATTGTGCTTACATTTACAGCTCTATCCAGCAGGTTACACTTATTACTTTATAATTCTTATATAGACTTTATACAAGAATTTCAGGAATAGAATGAGAGCTTGTACTTAGGTCAAGACAGGTATAAGAACTTGATTTGGCTTTCCTGACAGCAGAAGTATTCCACTGTACTAAAGTCCTAGGCCACCCTGAAAATTGGTATTAAAGCAATTTACAGTGGGGCAAAAAAGTATTTAGTCAGCCACCATTTTTTTCCCCACTGTATCTGTGAAATGATGAGGTGATTTGTTAAAGCACTTCATAATATTTAAGTAAACAAATAAACATAAAAATACTAGCTCTGTTTTTTAGAACCACACACATATAGTTTATACAGTATCTGCAAGTAATCTGGATTGTTACTGAGAAGCCTACTGTGCACTTCGTAACAGCTAGAATAAAATTTATGGCTGCTTTTGAGACCGTTTATATGCTGGTTTAGCAATGTGACAGACTTGATTGGCTTACTGAAAATATTAAAAGGCTAGGACAGAAGACTAGTTGTACTGCAATCTGCTCAGTGGCCTATACCATGAAGGTAGCTGAACAAACTCAGGGTTACAGGAATAGTTTTGATTTGACAAAACCAAACCAATGCAATCAGGCTTTGTTGATGCCATGAAGCAGCTCATGAACTTTCTCTGTCAACTTTGACCTTAAAGCTATTAACCAAACCCCTGCAAGAACTCCATGTTATTGGCAGCAGATCAAAAGAAAATATAATTCAAACCCCTGCAACTACTCAGTGTTGGTTTTGTTGACCTGCCACCCCTGTGGCGGGTTTTAAACCTAACCAGCAGTTTACTCAAATGAGACTGCGCTATTAATGCTAACTCATTTTTTTCAGTTCCCCACTTACTTTACCTTCCTCAAGCACTGACAGAACACAGACTCTGACTGAGCCAGGCCAGTTGACATCCAAGCTTGTGATCATACATTCATACAAATCATCTGCATGATGAATTGTACAGTAGGTCAGTGTGTTAACATATGCATTACTATTTTAAATCAGAATTTATTTCACTGAAAGCTCACATGTACAATAGACCTACAGTAAAACATACTTTCTATTCACAAAACCAGCCTCATGTTGTTTTAGAGCTGTGAATGATTGCAACGTGTGTGCAGTCTATTGTTCTCATGACTTTATAGGGCAGGAGTGTCAAACTGAGTTCCTGGAGGGCCACTGTCCTGAAGAGTTTGATTAGCTGGATAAGGTGTGTTGGAGCTGGTCTAAAATTATATTTTAACTATATAACCATTTTTGCATACCCCCATTGTAACTGATTTCTCCACGAAAATGTCAATGCTTTGATGCTAACATTGATGCTAAACACTAATGTATTTATTTACAAAAAGCAACGAGTGTCGAAAAATCAGGCAATTTTATTTTTATCAAATTTTTCATAAAACTGCAATTTTAATATATTATTTCTATAGGCTTTACAAAAAAGACAAAAAGGACTACATAAATAGGCTAAATAAGCTGATCTATTTCATGGTAAATGGTGGTAGCCTAGTCTATGAATGGTACACCCCCCTAAGCTCACAGAAATGGTTTGACCCAAGTCTTCAGCAGCCAATGACACTGACCCATTCAAACTATTTTTTAATGCGTATTTCACTTGTATTTAACGCGTATTTGACATGTATTTAACATGTTATATACATGTTGAATACGTGTATTTAACGCACTGATTTTTTACGCGCAAACAACATGTATTTAACACGTGAAATACGCTTATTTAACGTGTTGTTGACGTGTTAAAATTCACATGTTTTTGGCCCTTTTGGCCATTCCAGTGCCCCCTCGGTTTGAATGGGCATGACGCCTCTGATTATACCATGATCAAATACATACCAAGATTTAGCTTTTTTACTGAAATGTATTTTGAGTTTTTTTTTTTATTCTTTTAATTCAGTTTATTTACGATTGAATATCTTTTTAATATTTAAATTATCTGCATTTATGGTACACTGTAAAATACTATTATGACTTTTTTACTCGAGTGCATAATACTCAAGTAACACTAAAAACACTTCCTCTAATAATACAATGATGAAGTGCCAAATGACCAAGGCAGCCTTTGACTGGGTGGTACGGTTTCCTGTTTTGCATCTGACCGTCCATCAGCCAATTCCATACTACAGACTGCATACTGCGTACTGTGTTACTTGAGTATATGCACTCAAGTAAAAAAATGAAAAAGAGTAATTTACAGTGCACCATATATGCAGAGAATTTAAATATACCAACCAGAACACCCATTTTAAGTTAATATCAGGCCATTTCCTGATTTCCCCGGGGGACCAAAAAATACACAATGCACAATATTAGAGCCAGCAATCTCCTGTTTAAGAAGGCCCTTTTGGCCTTCCAAAGGGCACGTGCCACCTCAGATTTTTGAGCCAAGTGGATTTTGAATGCAGCTTCCAAAATGTAAAAAAAAAACAGATTAATAGTTTTTTATATATATTTGATATTGTGATTTTTTTTTTGTAATCAAATTATAATGAAGGTACTATTTTTAATAAAGATTTTTATAATAATGAAAGCAATATTTTTATTTAAAAATATGCACACAATCTCTTTTATTTGTATGCTTAATATATAGCAAAAAAAAGTTGTGTTGTATGCACTTGATATTACTTTTTGCTGTTTAACATTTCTGTCATAAAACAGTTATCAAATATTAAATGTTTAACTACTTCTCATCTCGCACTCTTTCATTGTTAAAAACAACTGTGCTGCACAAGCGCTGAAAAGTGAAGCCAAAACGTTTCGATTGCCCCAGGTGGCTGGACCCAGTATAGGTCATAAACCCCAACCTCTTCATGTAATCTAATGGGACGTGAGACAAAATAAATAGTCAAATTACACTTCAAATAATTTTTTTTCCAAAGATGGTTTCTGTCATTTTAGGTAGGTCTTATCATGCTGTCATGTAAGAGTTATTTTTTTTATACGCTTTCTTTTAATCAGTTATTTGATGCTATAAAAACGGGTTGTGGTGTCATGATTGTGATCTTGCAATTGGGTCTGCAGGAGTTTGGGCAGGACTTTGAGACCGCGGCTCCACCTCACAATCTACTGCGCTGACTCGGGCTCCAAATTACGTCATTTTCGCAAGATGAGAGCGGCCATACGGAGGCCCTGTCCCAAATTGCATACTTCATGTGCACTTGCAGAGATAATGGCCGCCACGTGCGTGTGTCTGTTAAGTCCACGAGACCGTAGGGTGTCCCATTACTCATTTTAGCTTTCAGAATGGTGCTCGCGAGCCCCTTTGCGGCCACTAAGCACCCTTGATGCGCACTTCTGCCGAGCCCGCACTGAGGTGAGCTCCGCAGCAAACTTCTACCCGACAGTCAAAGCGGCATTACGTTACGAAAGTGTGGACTCAGAGGAAGACTGCGAGGGTTTAGGGTGCGATTTGGGACAGGGCCGGAGAATGTTTTGGCTTCACTTTTTATAGTGGAAGGAATATATTGCACTTGCGCCCATCTGTTCTGAAAACGAGGTGTGTTCAGGCGCACTGTTGGCGCGTTGCTATTTTGAGGCAACTGAAAATGATTGCACCATTGACCAACTAAAACCTGGTCTAAAGTCAATGGCGCAGTATTTTTTTATTAATTTTTTTTATAGTTAGTAATATGCGCCTATAAGCAGGTGCACAACGTGCGTACACTCTGCTTATTACACACACAGGGACGCGCAGCATCACACAAATGTGCCAAATATAAAAAATTAAAGGATTACAATGTAAGAGATTATTATTGTGCCCTGTAGATGGTTCCGAGATCCGTTTCCTCTCTGGAGAACCGCCATGTAAATAGCGAATCCGCACAACTGGAATGGGAGATGAGACTCTTATTGGTTTATTGCACGTTACGCTCAAAACACAAATAAGGCCTGAGAAGGTTTTGGCTTCACTTATTTTAGTGGAAGGAAGTGGAGACACGTCGTCCATCTTTTTTTACAGTCTATGGTTAAAAACTGAAGCGTCGATGGAAAACTCGATGTCTGTGGTGGTTACAGCCCTGCATTTAAAGGGATATTTCACCCAAAAATGAAAATTACCCTATAATTTACTTACCCTCAAGCCATCCTAGGTTTTGTAGGGTATGACTTCTTCTTTTAGACAGATTCAATAGGAGTTAGATTTAAAAAAAAAAAAATTGTCCTGGCTCTTCCAAGCTTTATAATGGCAGTGAAAGGGTGATATTCAATAGTCCAATAAACTGCGTCAATCCATCATGGAAAAAGTACTCAACGCTGTGCTGCACACACACAAGTTAGCGGAAGCTAGAGATTATGGTTTATAACGTTTTAAATATTGATATTTTTCTTACAAAAACACATTCGCTTCAGGAGGCTTTTATTAACCCCCCTCCCGGAGCCATGTGGAGCACTTTTTATGATGGATTGGCGCAGTTTATTGGACTTTTGAAAATCACCCATTTACTGCCATTATAAAGCTTGGAAGAGCCAGGATATTACGACCCTGTTTAGGGACTAGGGTTGGGAATCGAAAATCGATTCCGATTCCAGAATCGAATACTTAAGGTCAGGAATCGGATACTTGTTGTCGCGTTAAAATTTCAATTCCGCCTATGGATTCCTATGCGCTTTTTTTTTTCTTCATCTGTGCCGGACCTAGCGATATGCCAGGACCTTGCTCGCTAATCTAAGCGCACCAAAGTTTGACTACATTTGCGATCAGAAGCCAAAAAAGTTAAGTATAATATCTGTGATAGCTAAACATGTTGCAAGAGAGGTGTCCCCACCAACATGACAAAGCACTTTAATTTAATAGATCGTTAAAGATCGCGAATACAATTCAAACACCAGCGTAATTCTGTTCCTAATAGGGTTGGGAATCGAAAATCGATTCCGATTCCAGAATCGAATACTTAAGGTCAGGAATCGGATACTTGTCGCGTTAAAATTTCAATTCCGCCTATGGATTCCTATGCGCTTTTTTTTTTCTTCATCTGTGCCGGACCTAGCGATATGCCAGGACCTTGCTCGCTAATCTAAGCGCACCAAAGTTTGACTACATTTGCGATCAGAAGCCAAAAAAGTTAAGTATAATATCTGTGATAGCTAAACATGTTGCAAGAGAGGTGTCCCCACCAACGTGACAAAGCACTTTAATTTAATAGATCGTTAAAGATCGCGAATACAATTCAAACACCAGCGTAATTCTGTTCCTAAATTACAACGATTCATCTGTTTCATTCCTCAACCTTTGATGTGTGCGATCAATGTTGTGATCACATGGTTCGTCCATGCAGCGTACGATCACACCAGTGTACGATCACACCAGTGTGATTTGAACATTTAAATCTGCGTTATCGCTGCCGCTGACCTAAAGAGAGCAGCTGTCATCTGTCATGAATGAAACAGCTTCACAGTCTCTTCAGCCACACATTATCATTATTTCTGTTACAAACATTCAAATCACAGAAGTACTGGGATAAAAGTTTATAGTTCAGATATAAACTGTGTGTACGATGTGTATGGTAGTGATTAAAATAGAGTAAATCACCTTTTGAAAGTAATTTGACACTTCAAATGAAGATTTATCGATTATATTGTTACGCCAGTAGGTGGCGAAAAGGGGCTGTTTAAATGTATGTCTTTGAATCATACAAGAGATTCATTCAAGAATGCTGATTCATCCAGCAATAAAACAAGTACATCTTGAGTGAGTCACTTAAAGGGGTCGGTCATATGATGTGATTTCAATTTTTCCTTTCTTTTTGAAGTGTTACAAGCTCTTGGTGCATAAAGAAGATCTCTAAAGTTGCAAAGACTAAAGTCTCAAAAGGAGATACTCTTTATAAAAGTTAAGAGTCAGCCAATTCTCGCTGTAGTATTGTTGCTGCCGCCGCCATGTCGTGGAGATGCTGTGTGTTTAGTTGTGAAAGCGAAACTACATTGTTTGGCCTTCCGAAAGAGGACACAACTAGAAATCAGTGGTTAAGTTGTATTTACAACACTGTTCCAGAACAAATATTCAGATGTGTGCAGCACATTTTATGGAGGACTGTTTCCTGATCCTGGTTGAGTAGACTACACTGCCGGCTGTTCTGACTCACAGACTGCAAGAACGTTTTCATATTTAAAGGATTTGCCACTGACAATTCAAACGTGAGCAGTGTAGAGTAGGGCTTGTTGTTTGTCATTTCTCCGATCACAAATGCAGACATGGTTTTATGATTACGCGGCACGATGCAACGCGTAAAAAGACAGTATAAGTCATTATAATCTATAATTATGTCCCCACTGGATGCAACAAGTGCCTGGTTTATAATGGGTTTTAATGTTTTTGTCTCGTAGCTCCGGCCAGACAGGGCATCATCACAGTATGGTAGGGGCATAACATTTCTGTCACAAGCTTGAGGTATTCGGCCAATCACAACGTACTGGATAGCTGGCCAATCAGAGCACACCTCGCTTTTCAGACCGATGAGCTTTGTAAAAATCGATGCGTTTCAGAAAGGCGGGGCATAGAGGAGAAACAATAATGTACAGTATGTGGAAAATAATGTGTTTTTTTAACCTTAAACCACATAAACACATTTCATTACACCAAATACACAAAATAATGTTATTTTTAGCAACATCATATGACCCCTTTAATCATTAATTCATAAATTGCATGTGATTTTGTTTAGTTGTCTAATGTTTTTTCTTCAGAATCATGAGAGAACCACAACTTCCATTGGAGAAAAAGAAAAGGGGAAAAAATAACTAAATGTATCCAGAATCATGCAGTTCTATTTTGCACACAAACAGCTCTTAAATAGTCCAGTTTTTATGTAGCCTGTTGATTTTTGCTCATGGTATTCAGCTCCAATATATGGTTTGCAAAAAAGAGACACAGGATAAATGTTTGATATCATTGTTTAATCACATTGGAATCGAAACTGGGAATCGAAAAGAATCTGAATCGATAAGCAGAATTGGAATCGGAATTGATCAAATTCAAACGATACCCAACCCTATTAGGGACCAGGGCCGCTGCTGGCCAAATGGGTGCACTAAGCAGAATTGTATTGTTGTGCCCCCTCCGTCAAATATTATGGAAGTAAAAAAAAAAAACCTACTATAGGGGTCAGAATATAACTTTAATAAAATATAAAAGTTAATTAATGAATTAACTGTAATTAAATTATATTATTTACAAATTACAATTGTAGTTCTAGA